GCTTGAACATATATATATATATATATATATATATGTATATATATATATATATATATATATATGCATATGTATATATGCATGTCCGTATGTGCAGGCTTTTAGATGTAAAAAGGAAACCTGTCGTTCATCAATTTTTAAACATTAACTGTGATGGAACAGCAGCGGCTGCAGCAGTATGTAGAGTGTAAAAGTAGTGGTGGTCGGGCCAGCTCAATATATCAGTCGATATCTTATGAGTTTTTAATTTTAGGTTTTCACGACAAGACGCAAATACATCAAAAGCCTCAGCACTTAGCTGCAGAACCTATAAACAAATGTGAGTTTCGGCTCACAATCCTACCACAAACTCATCAATCGCATTTACTTCTAAATATCCATAAACCTGCAAATGAAGTGTATACACACACACACACACACATACACGCATATGCATAAACAAAAACATAAACGTACACATGTAAGCATTGGTGGACAAGCCGTGTTGTTGCCTGAATATTTCTCTTATTTTTATATATATATATATATATATTTTTTTTTTTTCTGAATTTTTTTTTTGCTTTGTTTTTAATTCTTCGGTTTGTGAAAAGGACAAATCGCTGCTGCGTGTGTAGGATATTGAATAAAATATCATTTCGTACACACCCCGTTCTTACTGGCTAAACTAAAATAACAGCAAGAGCAACTACACTAACACAAAAACGACAACAACAACAACGACAAACGTACAAAAGACTTTTAAATGTCTATAGATATCTGCCTTTGCAATGTGGCGTTTGTGTATATATATATATATATATATATATATATATATATAAATGTATATGCATATGTAATATTAAATGCGTGCATGTTGCAAATTTTTCGTTATTGTTACTTTTGATGATGATGATGACGATGATGTCTTTAATGAGTTTTTACGTTTTATTGGCCAAAAAGATCAATAACGTACCAAAAAGGAAAATAGAAGATAACTTAAATTTAACTCAAGGCTAATCCAAGCCAAGCCAAGCTTGACTTTTATTTAGAAAACCCTCAGATTTTCTTGAGAAAAAATTAAAATGAAATCATCGTCATTAGCGTAACCATTGAAGCTGGTTTTTCTTGTTATATATGTTAGTAAAAAATTTTTGTTTTTTATTTTTTTTTTTTATTTAAAGCTACTGCTCTCAAGTAATTAGAACACAAGTTTATTTATTTACTTGCTTTTGCTTATGCCTTTGCTTCCATCAAAAATAATAATGTGCAAGGGAATCAAAATTATTACATTATGGACGTTGTACACGTTTTTATTTAACATACACATACACATATTTTATATGTAAATAACAAAAAAAAAAAAAAAAAAAAATCATATATGCACAAATACATAAATGCACACACACATACATCAATAATTTTATTAACATTGTTAAATATTTGCAATGTCAACATTATGAACGAACGATTTTCAATCAAAATTTAGGTCAAGTTTATGCAGAAAAAAAAAATAATAAATAAATATATAAAAAAAAAATTACAAATTAAATTCAATCCATGATAATCAGATTCGTTTTTATTAAACGATTGAATCTCTTTAAGAATCGAGAGGGAAAGAAGAACAAATCAAGACTATACGCGGAAATTAAACAAAAACGACAAAAAGAAAAAAAAAATGCTTATTAATGGAAATACTATTAAATGAATTCGTTTCCCCTATAAAGCGTTATTCTTATTCTGTTATGCACTTTATACATGCATTCGTATATGAAATAGTAACCGAATTTTGAAGGTTTCTGCGTTAAAAAAAAAAAAAAAAAAAAAAACGAATAAAATATCATTTGTCACTGCAAAATAGCAACGACAAATTATCAGAAGAACTTTCCTAAATTTGCACATTCGCACACGGTTGAGAAAAGAAAACACATTCCAAGTCTTAGAAATTGATGACAAAAAAAAAAAAAAAAAAATTTATAGAGATTTCATATCAGATTTCAACCTAAAATTAATAAAATGCGATAAAAAACATTAAAATAACCAATTGTTAACAGTTTAGTTTAGAGTTTATGGCATATTGTTGGCTCATTGTCATAATCGTTTAGTGGGCGAAACTTGAGCAAGAAGCCAAATGGGGGTACTACGAGACTGATGGCAATAGGAAGCATCAGGCCTTGAAAAATAGCGAATGCGAACGCGAATGCGAATAAATTTTTCTCGCATTTGTCGCAGATGAAGTTGGAATCTTGCAGTGAAACCGAGAACGCTTATGGATGAGATTTTTGTCTGCAAAGGCGTAAGGCTTTGAGTGGTGACGTGGGATTTCAACTTTTTTAGAAAGGGCGATTAAAATTAATATTTTTAATTTTTGTTTAATAAAATTATAAATAAAAAATATAGAAATTTTTTAATGAAAACTTTTTTAACCTAACTTATTCAAATTTTAATGCATAAAATCAAATGTTTTTTGGCTGGATTTCAACTGGAAAATTTCATTTAAGCTATGTTTTCAAGCGTGCAGAGTCAATGTTTTTTTGTTTTTGTTTTTGTTTTTTTTTTTTAAATCCATCACAAATGCAGCAGCACTTATACATTTTTATAAATATTTCTTCTTTTTTTTTTTTTATTATTTAGCGACAAATACTCATAACGAACGTTACCTGACTGCTTGCTATATGTATGTATGTTTACAAAGCAATGCACATATGATGCAGAGGTTGCTGCGTAAGCTCAACAGTTTTTTTTCCTGTTTTTTTTTTTTCTTGCGATTTATACATATGTTTGTGTAATTGTTAAAGGTTGAATTATACAACAATAATAATAAATGAGAGGGGTGCCGGGCGGCGGTAGAAGGAAGAATGGCTGTGGAAGGAGGGGGGAGTTAATGGAGGAGACTAGAAGTGAATTAGAAACGAATTTAAACCGCAATGCATAGCTCTTTAAGTTCCAGTGCTTGAACAACTTGACAATAGTACCAGCTGATCGGGAGGCATTAAGCCATAACCGCCATATACAATATATAATATAATAGCAATTTTTTTCAATTTTATTAAGTTTTCAAAAGGTAAAGATAATGTTCGTCTTTACTTGCGCGTATGCATTTCTTTTCATCACTCCCATGCTAACGGCTACAAAATAATTCTAGGAATTGTTTGCAGTAAAATAACAAAGGAAAAATTACATCAAAAAAAAAAAAAAAAAAAAAAAAACAAAACAAACATGTGTATTTGTGTATGTAAAAACATATAATTTGATCGTCATCTTGCGGAGTAAATTTACCGACGGCAGAAGAAGTTTTTACACATCATAGATTTTTGCATGTTTGCATGAAATTTAATCTGAAACAATATATGCATTTTTTATTTCTCATTTGCTTATGTACCGAAATCTATGATGAATGGGTGTTAAAATAATTTCAATAAAAAATTATTTATGCGACTGAATTTTAATGCCAATATATGTATGTATGTATGTATGTATGTATGTATGTACATATATACATATGCTGTCTATTTATCAACATGCAGCATATGGATATATATGGACATCAATCAATATCAATATCAGTTCCATATATTTATCACATATGAATAAAAAAAGCTATAGATGGAATGGATGGATGGACTGTAAATAAATTTGTAAGCAATTGTTGATATTCATAGAAATATATATTAATTGATATAATCATAAGAATTGAAAAAGTCTTTGCTCCTTAAGGAGTTGTCTCGAATGAGACAAAGCATAATTCATTAAATTAATGATTATTACTTAACATAATTGAATTTAATTTAGATTAGGTGCTTAGCAAAAATAATTAAAAATTCCGGGAAACGACGACTCCTGAAAGTCTCATTCTCATCAAAAGAAAACCAATATATTTATGCATAGCTCTCTTATATACTGTAATCCCACTTCTTTTTTTTTTATCGCGTGTATTTAATGTTTAGTAAATAAAAATTATTAGAATCGTTGATGATGATTATTGTATTTATTTATTTATTCATTTTTGTTTTTTTTTTCCCAAGATTGCATTGCAAATATTTTATCTTTAGATAAATGCATTTAATTTCCTTTTCCTGGGATAAATCGCAACAGAGATCGATCATGCGATCTAGATAAAGAAAGCGCGCGCTCCCGCCAAGATTAAGGGCGATCGAGTATATATATGTATACATATATATATGTATGTAAATGGCTTAGGGTTTTTAGTGTAATGTTAATCATTATATATAAAAAATTTATTTATTGATTCGATTTATTTAATTGGTTGTAATTATTCTTATTAATCGCATACATATGTATATATATATATATATATATATATGTGTGTGTGTGTGTGTGTGTTTGTGTAGTATGTAATATGTTTGTTTACCTTTTGGTAATTTTCTATATAGTTTACTTTTAAAAATGCTCGATATGTAAATGAGTTTTTTTTTCTTATGATTTTCTTAAGTATTCAGCGCAGACAACAAATTGGCTGTTGGCCAATTTCGGTGTAGATACACGTATCATGCATTATTTTCCCTTTATGGTTACAATACGTACATAACAGAATGTGAAGCATTTAAAGTGTTGATTTAAGAAAATAAATTAATGAATAGATGAATATGAAAATTTTAAAATGAAATATGACCTGACATTATGAAGTAAGTTAATGAAGATGTCATTAAGAGAAATTATAAAGGACTCAATCTAAAATCAATTGATTGATTAATTAATAGATTGATTGATTGATTGATTGATTGATTAATTCTTAACAATTATTTGCATATCACATAACATGGACACAGATATAAAAATTAATAAAATCGGTTAAGTCCCATTTACGATTGATTAATCAACGGAACGTTCGCCGTTCAGAAAATTGCGTAAAAATGTTTTCGAACACTATCTTTAATAAACATTTGAATAATAATAATTCAATATTATATTGGACGTATATATGTTAAGGTATAATTGAAAACGAATAATAGAATCAAAATGATTTTTTGAAAAAAAAAAAAAAAAAAAATAGTTGAGGACGTTACCTGTTGCCAAAATTGTGCCAATAAATAAATTTGTTCCTTTTTGAAAAACCAATCCATTGATTGCACAGCCGTCAAATCCATATCGGCTGTACCGGCTGTTTGTGGCAATGTTGGCTGCATTCGGCTGCTGTGGTTTTCCTCCGTCTTAGAATCCAAAAGAGCGAGCTGCAATTGTGAAGCGGACGTGGCGCTGCCTGGTGACGCAGCTGATAAGGTAGCCGCGCCTTTTGAGACGGAAACCGACGAGGTGATGACAGACGTTGTCGACGTTTTTGCAGCCACTTTACTATTTATATCTTATTAATTTTAAGTTTATTAATATACATATATATATATATATATATACATATATACATATATATATATACATATATATACATATATATATACATATATATATATATATATATATATATATATATATATATATATATTAATTTTAAATAATATTTTCTTGTTTATTTATTTTATTTTATTTAATTTGTATATTATTTATTTATTTATTTTTTTTTTTTGTTAATAATTTTAATAACGACTAACTTTAACTGTTTAACTGAACAGAGGCAGAACAACCGCAGTGCTCCGTTTCAACAATTTGCGATCAAAACATCTTTAAAATTTTCAAGTCAATTGGAAATTGAAGTCAAAAATGTAAAGTTTTGTTGATTTTAATTTTAGCCATTTATGCGATCAATTCAATTTAATTTTACTCGATATAAATTCTTTTTATATCTTTCATTAATAAATAAATGATTCTTAGATTTATAATTTCTTTCATAATGTTTTAAATTTGTTATCTATTTTTTTTTTTTTTTATTATTATTATTATCGTTATTATTATTATTATTATTTTTTTTTTGTTTTTTGTTTTTTTTTTTCTATTTCATTTTCATGCTCTTCAGTGGTTTTTATTTTTTTTTAGATTTTGTTTTTTTTTTTGTTTTGTAATTTTATTTGCCGTATGTAAAAAACACTTGTTTCTTTTTCTGCGGAAGACGACTTGAATATCTCCACAAGAGTCCGTTTCATTTTGAATTCTTATGCCACTTAAATGAATAACTGGATGCTTCCATGTATAGGTCGGCAATTTATTAAATGTTTTAATTTGTTTGATTGTTTGGAAGGTGTTTGTGTATTGTTATCTTTTTGTTGTTGTTTGTTTTTTAGAGGTCGACAGCGCAACCTTAATCTAATAAGATGTTGCCTGTCACGAATTCAGCTGATGACTGAACAAATCGAACATTAACGCAGCTTACACAACCCCGTTAAATAAAAACAAGTTATAGAACAGCAGCAAACAACAAACTACGGCATTCTCATACAGAGTGAATTGTGTGTTTGTATCGGACTCGATTTCGGGCTCTTGCTGCTGCTACTACTCTACTGTCATGGCTGCGACCGTAGATATAGTGTAATGTGCGTTAGTATGCATGTTACCATTTAACTGCGCTCACTCATGGTTATCGTAATGTTTGACTTGTGTGTTTTTGTTTTTTTTGTATTTTATTTTTTGTTTTTCATTTTTTACTTATCTTTGGCCAGACTCATTCTCCTTTCCGTGTGATAAGCAGTGCGAGGGTAAGTAATATGCTTCTTTTACTCTCTGACGACGGACTACGAGACAAACGTAAGCGTATTTACAAACAAGCATCCACACAGCTATACACAATGAACAGGAAAAATTTTTATAACAAACCGATAATTCCATTTGTATATAATGGGGTTTTCCTTCAATTTTCGCTCTTTCTCTCTCGCTCTCTTTTTTTTTCTCTCACTCTCTATTTATATCTGCCTCCGATTCTCTATCGAACCAAATGAGAGTTATTTATTATTTGGCGCTCTCTCTGTTGTTCTCCCGATAAGTGGTAACAGTAAGAAGAGGAAGAAGAAGAAGAAGAAGAAGAGAATAAAGGAACAGTTTTACAAATTCGATTTGTAACCCCCCATTTTGCTCTCTGGTATATGAATGTCTCTCATAGTTAAACTCAATTTTTATATCCTCATACGTTTTGTTGTTGATGGTCTGTTGCATTCATCTGTGTGTGTTTGTATGTGTGTGTGTGTGTGTGTGTGTGTGTGTGTGTTTGTGTGTGTGCGTATGTGTCTACGTACGTATTGTTTAGTGTTCGCTAAACCCCCTAAAGTGTGTCTGTCTTACTGTCAGTTGCAATGTATTGAAATTCATTCAATTTACTTTTTCTGTGCTCATAAATTTCTTCTCTTTTTCTTGCAGTGCAATTGAAGGGGAGCCTGAATATCGTGCTTATTCTCTTGCACTTACCTTGGATGCCAACAACATCAATACACACATATACAATTACATATAGGGGGCCTGTTAGTGTTAAGCTCTCAGGTTCGATTTTTGTTATGTCTTTTGCATTTATTCAATTCGATAAGTTTTTATGTGCGTTTTTTTCCGGATTTTTTTTATTTTCTTTTTTTATTTATTTATTTATTTTTTTTTTTTTATTCTTGTCTCCCGATTTGTTGTTGTCTGCAAGTAGTATATCTCATGTATGAGGTGGAGCAGTACCTCATCGTTTTGATTATATGTAAAGTACATATGTGCATGTATATGGTTGACTGACTGAGTGACTGACTGAATGTATAGATGTATGTATTTACTGATGGTATTCAAGTTGTTGCTGTTGTTGGCATTTTTCATTGTTCTTATACTTGTTATTGGTGCTGTTGTTGTTGTTCTTGTTTTTATTGCTATTATTGTTTCGCATAGGGTCCGCTGCGGCTTCTACTCGTGGTGTATTATCCCATTTGATTATTTTTGTTACTGTTGTAGATGTAGAAAAAAAATTATAGAAAATCATCATACAGAGTTAAATTTATTTGTTGGTCGCTTCTTTTCCTTTTCTTCATTTTTTCTTACTTTTATGTATTTATTTATTCATTTTTTTGTACTTTCTGTTGTTGAGATTTGATATATATATATATATATATATATATATACTATATATATATGTATATACTATACATAAATACTATAATATATATACATATATTTTTTTTTTTCATACCGTTTTCAGTAGACGGAGAAATTGGAGGGAGATAAAGAGAATTTTCTGTTGTGTTGTGTAGTTTTTGATATCAGAAATCCCTAAATATGGAAACGCAAGTTTTGGAATGGAAGTTGCTTAGGGAGCTCGAATTTAATATTGCAAGTACTCTTGTAGATGAGCACGAAACGTTATGGCATAAATTAAAAATCCAATACTGTGTAGACGTATTCCAAGAATTTAAACTAAAGAGTTGTACAAAATAATTAAAACAACATTTTGATTTAAAAAGTGTTACTTTTGAAATAACTAATTGACGATATCTGTCAAGATGATCGTCGCGTAAATTTTAATTCCTTTTACTTACTTTGAATCATTAAATGCTAGAGGTCTTGTTGTTCTCTTGTTATATACATTGTGTACGAGTCCTTTAAAACAAACGAATGTCAAGCAACGTTGCTTCACTGACGTGCCAATGGTCGAACTTTTCCCTATATATACGAATTTTATATAATATAACGGTAGTAAATATATATATACATAAATGGTATATATATATATATATATATGTATATATATATATAAATTTTTATTTTTTTGCCGTATGACCATGCGGTAGAACGAATATATGCAATTGAAAATCGAATAAATAAAATAAAACTAAATTACACACACAAGGATACATCTGCATAAATATCAATGTACACCCATAGGTATTAAAGGCTGATTGCCAGCAATTACACAAAACAATATTTCTCACGTCTCTACTATTAAAGGATTGTGGTATACGTATGTACACAATTTGGTTGTAATACACAAAAGTGTCCGCTAACGAGCTTGTGTTCTCGATCGGTAATGAAATTTGCATGAAAGTAAATCTGTCTATCTGTCCTTAAATATAAAAAAAAAAAGAAAATATAAAATATATTCGTTAACATACAACAATAACGATGTGTTAGTGCAAGAATTTTAATTAATCTTTGAATAGAATAAAAATATCACTGCATTTTCGCATATTCATCAAACAATCTGAAATTTCCTACTTATCTTTTCAAAAGAATAGAAAATTGTCTTGATCAGCTTCTAATTAAAAGTAAGAGAAAACACAAATATATATATATATATGTACTATATATATGTGTACTTTCCGATTTTATCGAATTACTTTAGATGACAGGTCCCAACCATGCAATCCAAAAAAAGCATTGATGCAGATTGTAGGAATAATATTATTTTGGATAGGAGAACTCGAAGAGAAAAATTTACGCTTCTTTACAGTTTTCGTCTTATTGACACAACGTAATGTCTGCACATATGAAATAATAAAAAGGAGCGATGAGAAAAAGTGGGTGGTTTGACTTTTTTTATATATATATATATATATATATATATACATTGATTTATATATTAATATATATGTAATAGTAACGTATTTTCGCACAGGAACGTATATATGTGTGCATGCATATAAGTGAGAGTAAAATTTTTGTGATTGATAGATGAAAAGCGTAGAATGAGCGATTGAATGTAACAGTAAAATATGTATTGGAAATCTATTTAAGGCAAAAAACAACTTTGATTGGTGCTCTGGCTTGATGAGAAAAAGAGACAAATGAGAAAGCAAGCAGAATTTTCCTATAGATATTTATTATCTGAAACAAAAGTGATTATGTATATAAATAATGCGATATTGCTAAAAGAGCGGCAACAACAAACTGAGTCGTATATGAATTAAACGATGAGGCGGCTCCCAAGTTGATCGAAATATGTTCGCTGAGAAATATTTTCAAAATTTGAAAAAAAAGTCGCATTTAGTAGGAACGAACGTGTAGCTTGATCACTCCTCAGACTGTGAATAAGCATTTCACCCGGTTTATATGCATGATATGTGAACTTAAGAAGCTGTCAGTAATCAGGCGTACGCATCAGAAAACCGCAAATCGGTCGGTTTTTAATCAAAGGAGTGAACAGAGAGTATTCTGTCACCAAAATTTTTCAGATTTTATAATTTTTCTCCAAATGCCTTATTTGAGCAAAAAAATAAATAAATAAATAAATAAATAAAATAATTAAATTGAAAACCGGAACGCTTTAGTTGCTTCAATTGAACCCAAATCGAACGAAAGCAGTACTTCAGCCAGTTTGCAATTGAAGCAACCAAAAATTGTTCCACTTCTAATTGTTTTTGTTTTTATTTATATGCATGTGCGTACGTACATAGGTACAGTGAATCTTCCAATTCCATTTCGAAGAACATGCTTTTGCACTTTAATTTTGAAATTTTTCTTCAACTCTTTTTTTTTTTTTTTTTTTTTTTAAATTCGAATATTTCCTTGATACCTTATTTATATTACGTGAATACAATTATCTGCAAAAATCTTGGTCCAATCTGCAAGTTGATTAGCTCTTATCACTAACACAACTTGCTTTGATCAAAGTTTAATTCGCCTATTCTTCATTCTTGCAAAAAAAACAACAAATCTCTCACTTCTGAAGACATATTGAAGGCCCGCAACAACTAAGAACCAATCAGAAGTAGTGTTCCGAATAATATTTGTGCCAATGTGTATTCAACTTTCAATAATTTTATATAATCCGTTTAATCCGAAAAGTTGTAGAAAAATTGATTGCATTCACTTTATTAACCGTCGAATACCAAACTGTTCCAATTC